ACCTCATTGGTTCTCCACTAACTTTTTCAACATCATATTTAACTAAAAAAAAAATAAAACTATAAACAGCATTATAAGCTACACCAAACGACACATATATCTCATATAAAATGGGACTAGTGAGAAAATGGACACATGCACATGCCCCAAGACCCATGATGTATGAAATAGAAATAGAAATCACAAAGAAGGTATTTAAACAGCTGCACCTTTATTAAACAAAATAAAAAATCACATTAAGAGCAACTTACATCAAAAATGTTCTCATACTCCTCCAAAAGTGTTGTGATGATGGCTTGAGCATTATTAGCAGCATTTGCGGCTGCAAGAAGCTCTTTGGAACAAAATCAAATGCAAAATTGTTGTATAGCATAATGGTAAGACTTGAACTCAAATATCTAATAAGAGACCATCTTATTCACTAAATCAATCTCTTAAAATTGTTAAAATAATAATAAAAAAAAAATTAAACAAACAAGAAAATAATGTGGCTCCAACAATAAAAGAAAACGATTCAATATTCTTAGAGTACCATCATAACATGTGCACGAGTTACTCCCAATTAATGAGGTTGTATAAAAGATAGATAAAATTGACTTTATTTATCAACGAACAGACCAACGTGGGCCAGGTCGGCAGGTTATACTCATCCTATTATTTGGTGCTCTTATTAGTTTGAAAGCACCATATCAACATGGTGAGTAGTAAGTAATTACTTAATAGTTGGCGGGTAGTTTTTATGGTAATAGATTGTTCAAATCTAATTTAAAAACATAATCAAGTTTTAAATTTTTCTTGAAGTTTGAATTATTTACATTCAAACGAGTTTTTCTTTTATTACCTGAATTGAATTCTTGTTGAAGTGACCCAAATCAGCAAACATAGCCTCAGCCCCTGTCCCATTAAATTAACAACTTTTCAAATCAAAATCAAACTTATTTATATATTTAATAAAACCCAAAACAATAAGATTACATACAAGTGTTGACCATAGAGAAACAAACAAACATACCAGTTATGCACAAAAATATAGCACCAAGGAGAGTCCATCCAGTGACTCCATTTCTTGAAAAAAATATGATGATATAGTGAGGAGACAAGGCCTTGAAAACAGAGGGTTCATACTTAACAATGTTGTATACTCCAATGGCGATGTTTGAGCCGAACCACATCAGCATGATCGGAGAGAATGAGAAACTCACTTTGCTCGTACCGCACTGCTGGAATATGAAGAGTGCCACGAGGAGCACAACCGCCATGATTATGACATGTTCTGACAGTTGAACAAAAAATGAATTGAATTTAGATTGATTTAGTTTTTGTCGAATTAATATTGGATTTTTTGGAGGAAAGAACATAGCTTACTTTGTGTTATCCTTGAGGAGACTGATTGAATTCCTTGTAGAGCCGAGAGAACTGTCACATGAATGAAAATAATGGTGTGAATCAGAAACTGTAATGCTACAAAAAAGAGAAAAAGAAAGGTTTGAGAGGCTTCTTAACAATATTCATCAGTGATGCGATATTCTGGTGAATAATTTTGTATCTTAATTCTGAAAAAAAAAATAATGTAAGGCCATAATTGCTGTTACAAGTAAATATATATGAAAAAATATATATGTTACCGATTAAAAAAATGTTATATGCTCGGAAAAATAGTTTAAAAATTTAAATTTATGATATATATTTAAATTTAGTGTGATATAAGTCATACATAGAATTTATTCGATCCATGTATTTTATGTTGTGCACTATACCAAAGGTTACCTAATCTTTTCCCTCCCAAACACACAATTGAGCATTATTTTTATTTTTATTTTTTTATCTTTTATTTATTTTTTGGAATATGTAGCATATATTCTTCCGTTCACTAATGCGATCCACAATTTTCACCTAATCTACTTTTTCCAAGAAGTAATGATACATAAATAGAATATTTATACAAAATTTTCATATAGTAAACCTAGCTTCTTATAAATATTTCATTTCAAATAAAAATATCAAATTTTCAACTCATACTTTTAAAATATCACTGTCACATTATTCTCTATAAAGTTTATATACAACTTCTCTTCATAAATCATTTTATTTTCTAGTTACAATTGATAAACTGTAACCATAAATTCTACCAAATATAGGGATAATAAATGAAGCAAACAGTCATGTCGGATTATTAAAAGCTCGTTAACTAAACAAGTTAATTTTGAACACATTTTTGAGAGCGAGAGAAAACTTACCACTAGTGGCAGGAGTTAAAGCGCCATCACCAATGACCATGCAAGTCCCAAGCCATCATCCTAATTATGTCTCCTATTTTTGTTATCTGTTTAGTTTCTTGTAAACATGCTATAGTAAACCAAGTGCCATTATTTTAAGGAAGACAGAGAGAGTCATCTTAGGCCTTATTTTCCTGCAAACAAGAACACAAATGATGTGTTTCAGTTAAGACATCAATAACGAACTATATATATATGAATAAATTTACGAATACATAAATAGGTCACAAAATCGGATTTACAATAATAAACTTTGTAAATTTTTTGTCTATTTGTATTCTGAATTCGATTCTATGATAAGTTTCTGCGTTATTAGCAGAAGAGATAATAATTAAAAGATGCCCTTTCAAGAACAAGTGCGAATGGAGCAATAACGAGAGTGGCAACAGCATGACGATACACTATGAGTACAAAATTGCTCACTCATTCCACGCTTCAAAGAAACCAAGGTGATGATGAACATGCCTGCATATCCAAACTGCAGGGTGATCATAGCCAAGTAAGGTTTTAGCTTTGTGAATATGAGGCTCAACATCCTTGGCTTTTGGCCTCCCATTTTCCTCTCCTTTTCTTTGTATATATAATCAAAAAGACTAAAATTTCCACAGTGAAAAGCACAATTTGAACGCAAATAGGATACGAACACAGAATCAAGCAAAATGAATATAATAGAGACCAAAATTGAGAAGAAGACTTGCAGCTTGTAATTTAATTCCAAAACACACAAACCACACAAACATTCAAATTTAATTTTCAAGTTTTATAAAATTAAATCCTAATCATTTAAAAAATCACTGTAAAGAATCTAGAATCATAACTCAGACCTTGATTTTTATATAACAGACGTATACTAGTGACCCAAATCAGCAAACATAGCCTCAGCCCCTGTCCCATTAAATTAACAACTTTTCAAATCAAAATCAAACTTATTTATATATTTAATAAAACCCAAAACAATAAGATTACATACAAGTGTTGACCATAGAGAAACAAACAAACATACCAGTTATGCACAAAAATATAGCACCAAGGAGAGTCCATCCAGTGACTCCATTTCTTGAAAAAAATATGATGATATAGTGAGGAGACAAGGCCTTGAAAACAGAGGGTTCATACTTAACAATGTTGTATACTCCAATGGCGATGTTTGAGCCGAACCACATCAGCATGATCGGAGAGAATGAGAAACTCACTTTGCTCGTACCGCACTGCTGGAATATGAAGAGTGCCACGAGGAGCACAACCGCCATGATTATGACATGTTCTGACAGTTGAACAAAAAATGAATTGAATTTAGATTGATTTAGTTTTTGTCGAATTAATATTGGATTTTTTGGAGGAAAGAACATAGCTTACTTTGTGTTATCCTTGAGGAGACTGATTGAATTCCTTGTAGAGCTGAGAGAACTGTCACATGAATTAAAACAGTGGTGTGAATTAGAAACTGTGATGCTACAAAAAAGAAAAAAAGAATGGTTTAAGAGGCATCTTAACAATATTCATTAATGATGCGATACTCTAGTGAATAATTTTGCATGTTAATTCTGAAAAAAAATATGTGAGGCCATAATTGCTGTTACAAGTAAATATATATGGAAAAAAGATATATGTTACCGATTAAAATAATGTTATATACTAAGAAAAATAGTTTAAAAATTTAAATTTATGATATATATTTAAATTTAGTGTGATATAAGTCATACATAGAATTTATTCGATCCATGTATTTTATGTTGTGCACTATACCAAAGGTTACCTAATCTTTTCCCTCCCAAACACACAATTGAGCATTATTTTTATTTTTATTTTTTTATCTTTTATTTATTTTTTGGAATATGTAGCATATATTCTTCCGTTCACTAATGCGATCCACAATTTTCACCTAATCTACTTTTTCCAAGAAGTAATGATACATAAATAGAATATTTATACAAAATTTTCATATAGTAAACCTAGCTTCTTATAAATATTTCATTTCAAATAAAAATAAAAACAAAAAAGATAAACAGAGTAGAGAAGAAGAAGGAGACCCAAATCGCGGAGAGAGAGAGAGAGAAGAGAGAAGAGAAGAGGAAGAGAGAAGAGGAGAAGGAAGATCAGCGTTGATGGCGGTCTCTCTCTCGGTGATGGCGGTCGGTGATCGGCGGTGATGGCGGTCGGTGATGTCGGAGATGGCGGTCCCCTTTCCAGTAGATCTGGATTTGAGGATGAAAGGAAATTTTTTGTTAATGTTTTTTTTTTTTTTTTTTTTTATGTTGACCCAGATCTTGTTGATGTTGATGAACAAAAAAAAAAAATTGTTCAGAAAAAAATTTGTTGATGTTGATCAACGAATTATTATTTTTTTGTTGATGAACAAATTTGTTGATGTTGATCAACAATTTTCTGAATGATTTGTCTCTGAACAATTTTTTTGTTGATGAAAGAAGAGCTAGAGCTAGAGGTGTTGATGAAATTTTCTGAATGAACCCAGTTGATGTTGATGTTGATGAACACACCCAAGGGTATGGGTTGGTGGCGAAGAGGTTTACCAAATGATTTGGTTGGTACTAAGTGGTTATGTTGATGAACCCAGCTCCTTATGTTGATGATCGGCGTTGATGTTGATGAACCCGGCTTCTTCTTCTCTTCTCTTCTTCTTCTTTTCCTTCCTTTACTTCATCTTCAGAAAAACGCGAAGAAGAAGAAGAAGAAAAAAAAAAAACCAAAACGACGTCGTTTTGGTGTCGAGCCACTCTCGAGCCACGCTCTTTCGAGCTACGAATCGGAGCTGTGTATATATATATTTTTATTTAGAATAAATTACACTAACCTCTCATTAAGTTTGAAAAAAATATAATAAATTCCACAAATTTGATTGAATTATATTAAACTCTCCAAAATTTTTAATACACATAATATTTGTCTTATTTTTCATCAATAATTCATTAATTATATGAATAAAAAAAAAATAACATTATCATCATATATCTTCACACTATCAACATAAACCTGGATCCTTTTAGCCTCACTAAATGGGCGATTTGTGTCATAATGCCAAAATGTGGGGTTTGCCATATTATCTCCAAATCTCATGAGAGATCAATATAATTTAGAGAAAATTGGTGAAAAGTTCATTTTGAAAAGGGTGTTAGACGTTAGGTCCCACGAGTAATTTTTTTATTTTTTTATTTTTTTTTGGTGAGAAGTACGCTTTTTATAAAATATTGTGGTGAGAAGAACATTTTGTTATTTTGGATGTCATTTTATTTTCAATTTTACCCTTTAACCTATCTGTTCAAATCCTTTTTTATCTGTTCAACTTTTATGAACCTATCTGTTCAATTATTTTTCCCTTATCTATTGAAATTCAAGTTTATTTTTTCCCATTTGTTGAAATTCACTAAGCCTATTTCCCCTATATGTTGAATTTCACAAGCCTATTTTTTCCATATATGTTTAATTTTTTTTATCTGTTTAAATTGTGCTACATATGCATAGATATATATAGAAAGGAGAGAGATTTTGATATGTCCAATTTTTATTATCTGTTTAATTTTTCTGTTACCTGTTCAAATCAAATTCTCATATACATACATACATATATACATATATGTATATATATTGTACGGGGAGCAAATATTTTACACTTTTGTACTCCTTACGTTCAAGCTTCACGTTTCACCTAACAATGTCATCGAACTTGAAAACACAACGACAGTGAGCTACCTGGTAGGTGTGTTGTCGGAAAGCCCCTCAAGCGGTCAAGTTAACACTCAGAGAGAGAGAAAAGGACAAAAAAGAATATAGTTCTGTGTAAAAATATTGCAGACTTGTAGCATGGAGGCACTGCAAGATTTATATAGTTTGTGTGCACACTATCCTACTCGTCTTCCTCTAGGCACGTAAATGCACTATTCTCTCTTCGTCTTATACGTGTATGCGCGATAATACTACCAAACAACATCAACAAAACAGCCAAACGGTATTGATGCGTACGGATAGCGGGTTTCCTTCTCTGATCTTCAATTGAGCTACGTGGAGGTCTTTACCAAGCTACCCATAACCCAGTGCTCGGTAGACCATTTCACGAACAACTTCTACCGACTAGCCTAACTTCGAGGTACCTAGCCAATCACCTATAGCTCGGTCATGTTAGTCGAAACTGTCCAGTCCAACCAACCACGCATGGCACTAAGCCAATGTTGGCACGATCGTTCTGCTTACAGCTGAGTCATCGATCTCGGTCATCCCTCCACCTACCTGAGATCGAAAGCTACCCCTTTGTCTAGTTAAGAATAACATCCATTCCAACAACCTCAGCCTTGGACCGAGCTGCCTAAATACCTCGGCCCAATGTTGGGCGTCTCTTCAGACCAGCCGTAAGGCCCAAGACAATGGCCCAAGTCCTTAATACGCTCAACCCACTTTTCCGATGCAAATCCCCTTCTCAATTACCCCTTAATCTTGTCTGCTCCTGCATGACCGAGATTACTACAACTGACCGAGCTAGATACCCTGCCCGGCTAGATGAACTGTACGATGCGAATTTGATATCACAAGGAGCTCAGATCAAATCTCACGCTACAAGGAGCTTGGAGCAAATCCCACGCCAGAAGCGTCACGGTCCATTCTACTACACTGGCGCAACGTCTTCTCAGAGGGACATATGTCGTCATGTAATGATGATGGGCGCGATTCCCCTTGAGACCTTTCAAATTTTTGGCGCCCCTTCGAGGGTGAAATACATATACCATCGTCATCTTTCCCATTTCTCTATTGTTCATCATTGTCTTTCAGACTATACACCCTGTGAACCAGAGCATATCGTCATCCATTCGTTGTATCTAGTGCTCAACTTGAAGGATTTTCGTTGGAGATTTCGTTTCCATTTCATCATCGGAGCATTTACTGCCAATCAGAGTGTCGTTTGGAGCTTTATTCCCACAAACACCCCATTCGTGTAAGTGTTCTTCATCGCCCTACAACATTCTTCACTATTTTTGGGCCTTTATGTTGTTCTTAGTGTTCTTAAGTTTATACTGTCACATCCATATTTGAAACATGATAATAGCATCAAATCCTGCTAAAAACATGTTTTTACAAGAGTTTCGAACCACCCTTATGGTTTAAATAGGCCCTAAGCCTTGGTTGTTCATCATCTTGTTCATACCCTGATATGAATAGGGATGGATCTGGGTCGGATCTGGGCCGAATCAGGCAAAAAACTAACTTTTTAATCCAAAATCTCAATTTGGTGGAGCAAACTTTATGTTTGTCACATCTGAAGAAGAAACTAGGCTAGAAACCAAAGTAACTTAGGAGGCCGCGCTATCGAGCTAGAATTCGCTTTGCTCGCGCGGCTGAGATAAGACAGAATCCTAGGTAACTAGGCACGCCAACATAAGAGCTCTCAAAGACCGAGCAACCGTTGCATAATTTGACCAACACCCTCTATCGGGCAGACCACACCAGGCTACATAGGGCGATAACGCTTCTTGGTGAACACACCGGGCGCCCTAGCTGAAATCTGTGAGGGATATGGCGTTCCTGCAGATGTACACTTCAAGCTCGGCAATGAGGGGATAGTTCCCTAGAGCAGACAGAACCCTTGCCCCTTCACTGTGCTATCAATTATAGAAGGGAGCTTTGCTTCTCGGTATAGTTTTTGATGTGTGAATTCTTAAAACGCACTGGGTTGTGCCCTACACAAGTCTCCACCAACATATTCCGCATAATAAACGGAGTAGTCGAGCTAAATCACCGACTTGGCTTAAACTTAGGCCTGGCCGAGATACTGTGTTAATAGACGCTCGGTCACACAAGCAATGACTTTAACTAGTACTTAAAAGTAAGACCGGGCAAAGAGTGTATAGTGACCGACATGTCGGATAAGGACCTTCGTGATGACGACTTCTTCTGGGTAATTGGAAACTATGAAACTGCCGACGTACCCTGTTGGTACATTAGTAAAGATAAGGGCTCAGCAAGTAAGAAAAATTTCAAAACTAGTCAATTTCATTTTGGTCTTGTTTTACTGAGCTAACAAATTTCCTTTGCAAGTATCACCGAGCTATAAGCGCTGTACTCACATCTTGAAGAAGCGGCGGTAAGAGCTGTGCCGCAATATAAGAAGCGTAGCTGCCACAATTTGCTCAGTTACGTGCCAAGTTATTGTTATTCGACCATAAGAAAGAACAAAGTCACAGACTTCTTGTTTGAGTCTTCTCCCGTTCCAAATCCAAGTCTTCCAGATGTCCCACTAATTCGACTAATTGAGGAAGAGGAAATAGCCAAGAGGAACAGAATCAAGAACTTCATCACAGCTACCTCCTAATAAATACCAAACAACATACTTCCATCTGCTCCAACGGCCAGTCAAGGTTTAGCAACCATGTTGGCCTTGGCATCCTCCATCAC